CTTCTGGGTCTGGGGTGCAGTGACGCAGCTAGGAATTTACCGAATGGGAGCAAATTTAATGAAGGGGAACGAGGTGCACTTTTGTCAGCTTCTTAGGAATTACAATAGGTAAACAATTTTCATTTTACTAATGATAACTGACATTTCAGTAAAAAAAAAATCTATTGATAAGATAATAAAATTTATGCAGAAATGTGGGAAACCAATCTCTCCACGATTCGTTTCGATGGTAAACTGTTATTGGCATATGCCAGAGAGACAAACCCTCATCAGCCTGCCTGTAAGCAACCCTCGAAAGAGAAAGCCATCGACAGTTTTGCCTGCAGACTGCTGCTGTCGGTATTTGTTACCGTTTCAGCTACTCACTGCGACCGAATACGGTGGGGGTTTTTGACTTCTAACGCAAAATATTACTTTTCAGTAGGAAACAATAGTTCTTCTACCTCTTGAAAATGAGGAGAGGATAATCCGCTATTTCTCTCCATTACTGTGCCGCTTGGACGGTAGGGAATAATTAGAGCAAAAAAAGTGACTGAGAGCTCTAAAGAGATCAGTAAAAACTGAAAAGATGATTGCGATATGTCGAAGGTTTTAAAGGATGTATGCTTTTCTCAGAGTGTAATCCAAGCCATAATTTACAAAAAAGTGGATGAGGAATGGGTCATCAGATGACTTAGATCTGCACTTGGCTTCGGCGGCATTTCATTTCAGAGCATCAACAGCCCCATATTGACTAGAACAATCATAATGTTTCATGACAAGTACTGAGTCTCGGGCGTTACTATAATATGTGCAGCACTAGAACTTTCAAAAGCAAACAGTCATTGGTGATAGCTAGGGCAATTACAACGTCAACTATGAAGATTTATAATCCGACGGAGGAGTTTTTTCCCGTCACATAAATAGCAATCGCCAGAATCGTCCATCTTGAGAGAAAAAAGTACGGTGAAGCGATCGAGGTCACGAAACCGTAAAAATTGTTTGAAAAGCACCAAAGCAATACATGTCCTGCTGCATTTCCGAAAAAATTTTTTTTTGTAGTTTTCGTTGTCAGAACAACTAAAGCCAC